CTAAATTAGGGACGGCTAACGCAGATAGCCCTCGTGTAGCTTTGTGCGAAATTCAAAACAAACAAACAAAGAAGTAACAATAGTAAACATTATATACATAGATTCTTTAAACTTTTGTGACTTATAAAGCTAAACATGCAAATAACAATCCTTTTCAGGAAGTTATATAAATGAAAAATGTAAGGAAATGCTAAATGTATGATTAGATATAGAAGCAAAAAGTAATGAATTAATGAAGAATTTTATAGATGCATAATAGATCAGATAATAAATAATATGTGTGCATAATATAGTATAATAGTTGTCTCATTAAAATATTGGTTTTGCTTAGAACATATATTTAAATATACCTAATTAAAACGTACATAATCAAGCATATATATATATATATATATACACACACAAAAAATATATACTGAAATCTGTATGCAATCATGTAGGACTATTCACGTTTTTAGAATACACACAATACGCTTAGTAAGACCATCCGCCTATAGAAACTCAGTAACACCACCAGCCTGTGTAAAACAAATACAGATGAAAACCATAGAGTAACTGTCATAGGGCATATAATTAAATCTAGATATTGATGACATAATCACATGTTGAGGCAGTTTTGTAGAAACAAAAGTGTTGCTTGTTTTAGCCTCAGATGACACAAAGGGTCAAAAAACTTTCTAATCTTGTCATCAGATGGTATGTGTCAGCAATATGTTGAAATGGCCCACACTGTTTGTATGAGTGACCACGTGACAACCTTTGTGTTTCCTAACTAACAACAGTCTTAACATAAGACAGAGGTTTATATCAATGTCTACTGAAAAATAAAGTTCAGATTATAGGTTGTACTTTAAGACTGTAAAGTGTTAAAGTGCTTCAAGTGAATGGTAAGTGTTGCTGATTTAAATAGTTTCTATAATAGTAAAATAATTGGATAAACAGTAAGTCATTGACTTATTACATTTAGTTGTAGCAAAATGAATTTCAGATGGAAATACCTCTTGACAATTGTAATCCTTTAAACTTTAATGACTTATAAAGCTAAATATGAAAATAAGCGTCTTTTTCAGGATGGTAGGCAAATAAGGTAAAATACTGTTAATTAATCGATGATTCTAATAACTATGCTAACATTTTCGTTAGCAGCAGCATCTACTTATAGTAACATTATCCTCTAAAAAAAAGGATTTTAATCGATTTTAAAGTGGTTTCCTTGATATTTTATAGGTAAAACTTTCATTCTGTAGTATAAATTGAGGCTATTAGGGTCATATGGAACCCTCAAAATGATTTGTATCTCTGGATAATATTTTAATAATTATTTTACTTTTAAATAATTAAAACTTTACATTTTATAGTTCTTATTCCATAAAACTTATATTCCCATGACTCTGTTTAATTAAATAAAACTGATGGTGTTTGTTAGTATCTTTAAGTCTCACTACTGCATGGGGTTTCAATTCATCTATTTTGGTGTTTTGTTCATTTATAATATGTCGTGATACATTAAATGAATTAAATATTATATAATTATTGCTTCTCGTACTTCTGATGATAATATATTTTTCAAAAAGTTCTTTATTCAAGTGTTTAATTGAATTTTAATAGTTTTGTTCTAATCTACATTCACCAGTCTTTCTAACTGATGGTGATACTTCAGATGTTACCCAGTCAGTAAATGTTTCTGCTTAGTAAATTTTTTTATCTAAATTTGATTTGTATAGCTAATTCTCTTGAACAAAGATAGTATCAGATTTTGTGTTAAAGAGGCAAGTATCTAAATGATACTTCATTTTTTTAACATTTGTTTATTTTTACTATCAACATTGTCATAAATAGCTTGAGAGGGTTTTTTCATATTTCAGTACTTTAGATATGTTCTTGGATTAAAACCAAAGATAATTATTCTATCTAAGATGAAGTATACAGACTTGTTATTCAACATTAAATTATTATTTTGGATATCAAAAATCAGCCCCAGACAATGGCAAGCCCCTTACAGAGCCCGCAGCTAAACCCTAATGCAGACATATTCAGTCCCGTTAGA